GGTGCCGCCTGGGGAGCGCGGGCGGCGGGACCTCCCGGGGTGCGGCGCGGTCCAGGCTGACCAGCCCGGGCTCACTCGTGAAGGTTTCGCTTTGCCCTTTTTGCAGCTGGGCCTCCGCCCCGGACCCACAGGACCGCCGTCACAGCCGCAGCCGGCCCCCCCGGACCTGCAGGACCCACTCGCAGCGGCTCTTGCTCCCCCTCTCCCTTGACCAGCCAGGAAGCATCTTCCCCAGAAGTTCCCAGCACGTGGCCCGCAAGATCTTACTGAACGTGGTGGCTTCGTCTCCCCAGACCCCTCACCAGCAAGGGCATCAGGACTCACCCTCCGAGTTGGGCCCCCTCCCCTCAACCCTCAGTCAGTGGAGGAACGTGGATGCCGGTGCCACACAGAGACCCTGCAGGATGTTGTCCATGCCAAGCCCGAATCCCTGATGCAACCGCGCCTGGGGCCTCTGCGCTGACCTTCCGAATACTCAAACGTGTCAGCTGCTACTTCGCTTCTGCCCTCCAAATCTCATGCAGAATGCTTCCTATGGCCCATTTAGGACGCCGGGGCAGGGAATTCTGGGAGATAACGGCTCTGCCGAGTCGTATGAGGGGTACCCCTGCCCCCCCAAAACCGGAATTATCGTTTTGAAGGGCAGGTCCCTTGTAGTATGGGCTTCCCCCCGCCAGCTAAGTGTCCTAGGAACCCACTGATACCAGCGTAACAGCCAGCATTGTTGTGAGAGGCTGCATTCGGCTTCAGTGAAATTTTCTGTGGTAAACAGGTGACTGGCTCTGCCACCCTGATAACACACCTGCCCCCACCACTCTGAGTGTTCAACAGTTTTTGGCCAAACCCGGCATGACCTCCGTGCCTCACATTCGTGAGGCATGTAAGTTTACACGTGTGAGAATAAATACGCAATTTTTATAAATAAATAGCGAAAATAAAATGGATTCTGTTAGAAATGAAGAAAGGGTGTGACTGGTTATTGAGCAGGCAACCAAAAACAGCAGCTGCAAAAGCACTAAAGAGTTTTACATTGTTTTGAAAATGAGAGCCACTTCTTCATAAGGTCACTCCGGTTTCTGTTTGTATAATGGCAGGCTAGGTCATTCAGAGCAGACTTCCCACTGAAACAAGAAAGGCCGGACAATAAAAAAGTAAAACCTAGCCAGGAGTGGTGGCTCACACCTGTAGCTGTGGGAGGCTGAGATGGGAGGATTGGTTGGGTCCAGGAGTTCAAGACCAGCCTAGGCAACAAAGGGAGACCTCATCTCTACAAAAAAATCAACAAATAAGTCAGGAGTGGTGGTGCACACCTGTCATCCCAGCTATTTGGGAGTCTGAGGTGGAGGAATCGCCTGAGTCCAGGTGGTCGAGGCTGTGGTGAGCCATGATCGTGACACTGCCCTCCAGCACAGGTGACAGAGTGAGACCCCTGACACTCCCCAAAAGGCAAAAAGCAAAGGCATTGCAGCTAACAAGGGAGTAAAGAAAATGGGGTCAAGGTCAAACGTGAAGAATTCGAAGCCGGGCTCGGTGGCTCAGCCTGTCATCCCGCGCCTTTGGGAGGCTGAGG